TCAGCAGGCTTGTGTCAGTCTGCAGCTCTTCAGGTCCGGTGTCCCGCTCCCTCTCCTTCCTCCCCCCCACCACCCACCCCTCGACTCCCCCACCCACCTCATCTCCGAAAAGGCTGCAGGCGTCGGGCTGTAAACAGCTCCAGAGTGGCGGGGTGAAATGAACCAGCAGACAGGCCCACGAAGACTCCCAGCTCGTTGATCTAAAAAGGGCTAAACACTCCCAGCTGTGGCATTAGGGACTCAGAATGGCACCTCTCCAGAGACCTGGTGAGGATCTGCAGCCCTCTGTCCTGCTGCAGCCCTCTGCCGGGCTCTAAATCAGCTCCGAGGGAGACGGAGAGCTGAGCAGGCAGCACAGCGGCGGCGGCGAGTCCATCTGAGTTATGCTCGGTTTGTCTGTCGTCGTCCTCGGTGTCTGTACCTTCGCTCGGCCTGGACTGGATCAGCTGGAACTTGCAGGGTTGCATAAATGCATCAGCAGATCTCACTGTGATCTGTGATCCGTAACCTTTTGTCAGTCTTCCATCTCATTGCTCAGATCAAACCGCTGAGATTGTTTGAGAGAGTTGAATAAACACGCTGCATATCGGCCTGATCTACAAATACATGAGCGGTGCGCGCTGGACTACGTTACGGTGGTTCTGCTGTGCTGCCGTAGTTCAGCGCCGAGCTCAAACAAAGCCTCTGAGAGACGACTGATGTGGTTTCAAAGGTGCTGGAGAAAAGTGTTGTTTAAAAAAAAACAAAACTGTTCAGACGTTTGGTGCTGAATTTATCAGCAAGCAGGCAGAAAACGCTTCAAACAAATATTATCAGTGAGTTGAAAATATGAAACATCGAATGAGAAGAGGTGGAAAAAGTTTTGAAACTTTAAAAGAAGCCAAATCAAAGTGTGCTTCTTGCTTCTTAAAGATGTGGAGTGGTTTGGCGTTGAACTTTATCTTGACCTTGGGATATCCAGAAATCTGCTCCTGTAGGTCAGAACGCCCTGCAGCTATTTAAATCCAGAGACTCTATTTATGGAGATTTAATAGCAGGAATCATCTCAGTCAGTTATCCAAAACAGCTGCTGCTTGCTTCTGTTTTAAATCACGTTTTTTATAAAAAATTACGCACAAGTGACGAATAAAAAGAAACCTGAACCCTTGACCCTGCAGTGAGGGGGTCTGGTGGCTCGGTTACTGGTATGGTTTGGGCCCACTCGTCCTCGTAGATCCATCCAGAGGGCACGAGGCGTCGCTGGATGGTTTGATTAGTATGAGAGTGATGTGAATCGCATGCTGTGGCCGTCACCTGTGTAAGAGTTTGGACGTGTTGGACAGCGCTCTCCACCAGCAGCACCATCAAAACACCAAATGAGGGAAGAATGGACTTTCATCTCTATCAACACAGTCCAGACACTTGGAGAACCAACACTATTGGCAGCACAGGATGGCCCAGCACCTTATTAGGACGCTGCATGTCGTTTTTTTCCTTTATTTTGTCGACCATCTGTATGTAATCTATTAAGCTAACGAAGACGCTCATATTTGAACATCTGCAGCAACAGAGCTGAGGAGGATCCTGTAATATGATCAAAAGCTCTAGAACAGCTACAAATTGGACCTGCTATTACATTATTTCTGCTGTTTTTGAGATCAAAGTTGAACATTTGATGTCAAATCAGCGTTGAAAGAGTGTTTGGGTACCAAAAAAAGCGGCTTGTAGATGCTTCAGCGGGCTCAGGGGAACTCTGATGACCATTTCTGGAAGATTTATTTTTTTGCAGTTAGATAAACATTGGCAACGTTGCTGGTTGGTCAGTCTGCCATTATGGTCCAGAATAGAAGACCTCAAAGGCAATGGGAAGGAATCTAATGAGCTGTATGTATGGCTGGCTCCCAGTGGAGGAATCCTACCAGCGCTGCTCATTCCTGTGTTTGTCCTGCAGATGAAAGTTGTCTCTCTACATCTACTGGATGCTCCTCTTGCTTCTTAAAATACTGCTGGATACAGATCAGGAACAACTGCTCCCTCTTTTGAAGTACATGATGCTCTGACCTCCGCTGAGTTTCCACTTCTGGCGGGCCACAACAGAACCCGCTGACTTCACGTTGCTTCCCAGCACGATCCTCCACACTGCACGTACGATACATAAACATCTGCATCGCAACGTCTCTTATCACCTGTCCTGCATCTCTGTGGTTTTTGTCTGGGACCTCCGCGAAGTGCTCCCGCCATGCCTGGTTCCCCCTGCTTGTACCTCTGCCACAGGAATAACCCTGAAGAATGCCTTTGACAAGTATATCGCAGATGCCGGCTTTTGTTGCCGGACTGGGGCTGTTTGCATGGATGTATGAGCAGACAAGCCAACACTAGCCACACCAGTTGGCAGCAAACACTGGTCTTTTACTGAAGCAGCAACAAAAACAACGCGCTCATGCATTGAGGACGTGATTTATGTGACATGTGGGGTTGCTCGGGGGCCCGCGGGCCTGGGTTTATTTACAGTATCTGGACAATTGTGAATGTATAGACATCATATTGCCCGCATGTTGTGCCTTTAGTTTATGTTACCCTTTTCAAAGGGGGCGCTGGGAGAAGGAAGGAGTGACAGAGCGAAGCCTTGTTCTCCTTCTTACATTCCTCTCTCTTTCTCTTTCTCTGTCCAGGTGGGACCAGATGGAGGGTTCGGAGGAAGGATAGACAGGAGATTACCTCCGCCATGTCAGCCAAGGCCAAGGTTTGTGGGCCTGAAACGTTCCTCTCCATCTTCTGTCACATCTCCTGCTCTCCATCTCCCTTTCTCACGCTTCCACCTATATGAAATCACCATCTCTGTGAATAACCTTATATGTTTTGGTTTCCACCGTGCACGCCGCTATGCACCAGATGATGAGTTATGTGTAGATATAAATTGTTAATGAAACCCATCCCCACAAGGCTCAGGACTGAGCTCTTCATGAAGCGCTGTCAGCACCGACGCTTTCATGACTAAATTATAAGCCAGCGGACCGAGCTTGATCCGGGGCGGAAAGAAAGCAGAGTTATTTGACTGAAGCATTACTGAAGCGTAAGTGAGATCACTTTTGATGAAATGGGCTTAAGCCAAAGCGCCACTGTTACTCTTCTGGAGAGCTTTTGAAGAGCTCTGTGTTTTATGAGCTCTTCTCAGTATTATCTCATTTTCTTTATCAGTTTTATATCTCTAAAGCACTTTGTCAACTCAGAACCGTTATTAGGTGTATAACTAAACCGTCATTTATTTGTAAGTAAGCTTCCTTCAGCACCAGTGTGCCAGATCCAGAGGCCCTCAGTCGTGCCATCAGACGTCTGCAGAAGGGAAGAGCTCAACATTTCGGGTTATGCACATATTTGCTTTCTTGCCAAAAGCTAGATGAGAACACTGATATTCTGATGTCTGTAGTGTAAATATGAGCAGCTGGTGAGCTTCTCCTCGCATAAAGACTGAAAACAGTGGAAAATCTGGTTCTATCCGAAGCTAAACATGCTAAATAAAACTGCTAAATATGGCACCCTGGATGCATATAGTGTCTGTGTAATGAACGATATGAGCTAAAGGCTGAACACCACTCTGCTCTGCTGCCGTTTAGGAGTAAATGATTGTAGTGAGTCATTAAAAACACACTTAAAATCTGCACTTATCAGAAGTAATGAGTGTGTTATGTAACCGTAAAAACAAACCCAAAGTGAACTATCACCTGACTGCAGCTTTAGCATCGTTCAGCTCTTTGTTTTGAGCCGAATCACTTTAATGCTTCGGCTCGTTTCGTTGCTTTACGTGGACCTAAAGAAAATAAAACCTACAGTCCACCGAGTTGTGAGCTACATGGTAAACATCAGTGACAGATAGCGTCTCCAGTATGGTGGAGACCAAAACAAAGCTAAAACGGGTCAGTTTTGTTCTTACATTTGGAAGATTTTTAACCAAGCATGACTCCTAATAAATGCTAATTATAGAAGACGAAGGTAATGCTAATCTGTAACCGTTGGATGTGTGAATTAGTTGTTAAAGTATTCACCATATCAGCTTTATAAGGTGAAGTGTGCCAGTTAATCAGATAAACCTTCGGAACCTCAAAACCCACGAGTGTGAAGGCATGCTGTCTACAAAACAGTCCCCAGAATGATCCATTTATCAGAGCCAGAAACTGTAAAACTGAAAAGGGTTTTTTGTCCTTTTTGTGATCAGAAAGTCAAGAGAGAGAGACGGGAAAGTGGGGGAAGGACCTGCAGGAAAGGGCCATGAGCGGGACTCGAACCCGTGACCTCTGCGTCGGGGACTAGAGCCCCTGAATTAGTGGATTTTTAGTATCTCGTCAGTCCTTTAACTTTGGACCTGTGATGTTTCGTCCCATCAGAAAACCAAAAATCTAAACTTGTAATCGTGAAGTTTCCTGAAAATAACTTTTTAAATTTGTTTTATTTAAAATCAGTAAAAAAAAAATTATTGTTTGCTTCAAACACATTCTGTAGAAAGAAATAAAATTCTGCTCTCGTCACTGTGAAGCCGTTTGAGACTCAGCTGTGACCAACAGGTATGGAACAACAATTCAGGGACTTTTTACATAAACTGGGCTGAACTACAGGCAAAACGGGGACTAAATGGAAACAGCCGAATATCTATAGTGTGTCGTATATTTTTTATAATCATAGTCGGTTGTAAATGTTTGGGTTTTTTGTTATGATTGTTGGCATTAAAACTTTATCATTCTGCACAAAGGACCTTCTCCAGGTCTCTCTGCTTCCAGCCATGGTTGTGCTATTTCCACTGAGATGCAGGATTTTACATCAGTGTAAAACAAAACGTGCTCACGGCACATAAAAACTTATAGTTAATAAAATCCCAGAAACTACTCGGGGGGTTCAGAGGGCTAGTGCGTCGTTAAAAATGACTATTACACTGCTTGTAGTGACACAAACCCAGCTCACGTCCTCCGTCCCCGTAGGTGCTGCTCTGGGTGCTCGTCTCTCTGCTGCCTCTGGTGGAAGGAGCTCACATGAAGGCCGGAGCTGCTGGGGTGGGATCAGACTCGGGCCACGCTGTGGGCCTGCTGGGAGGCCAGGAGGAGAGGGAGCTTCCTGTGACGCTGCCAGAGGTGGTGGAGGACAAGGAGCAGGAAGACGACGGTGACCCTTACTCCACTTGGCACGCCCTATACGGTACTGGAGCTCTTATGAAAGAAGAATTTATCGCACATCAGCCTCACCAGGCGGTATTAGAATGGAAAGAGGCTCGAGTCTGGGCATCTGCTTTGTATCTCAGTCGTCTAAATACATAGAGAGACATGATTTGTGCTCATTTCAACGTAAAATGTAGAAGTGAAGATATTGGTAGGAGAAGGTCTGACTTTACTGCTCGTAGCTCCCGTGGATACTCACCTGCCATTCTCCTCCTCTCTTGCAGACCCTTTCGTAATGGATGAGGTGGATGACCATCCGAGCAGCCGCTGGGTGGGGCGCTCTCCGCGCTCCTCCGACCCCACGGAACCTCAGCCCAAGGGATCATCAAAGAAAAAGAAGAAGAGGAAGAAGAAAGAAAAGGAGGAAGAGGAGGAGACAGGGAGAGGAGAGAGGAAGGGTAAAGGTAAAGGCCGGCCGCCCAAGCAGAGCAGCAGGGACTGCCGCGTGGAGAAGAGAGAGATGAGAGTTCGGGACCTGGGACTGGGCTTCGACTCAGACGAGATTGTCCTCTTCAAGTTCTGCGTGGGCTCCTGCCAGTCCTCCAGGACGAACTATGACCTGGCACTGAAAGCGCTGCTGGAGAACGGCTCGCTGCCCCGGCGCACCGCCCGCAAGGTCAGCGGCCACCCGTGCTGCCGGCCCGACCGCTACGAGCCCGTTTCCTTCATGGACGCCCAGACCACGTGGAGGACCATCCAGTCGCTGTCCGCCGCCAGCTGCATGTGCATGGGCTGACGAGATAAACGAGGGAGGGGGTGAGGAGGAGCAGCGTCACCCATCCTGAACAGAGGAGTGTGGAAAGTGTGTACGTATTAAACAACCAGAGGGAGGCGCTGTCTCACGCACAGCACAGGAAGTGAAAGAGGCCACTGGTTCGACTCCTGCGGCCATTTTCCTGCTGAGGAGGAAGAGTGCTGTTGGAGGATCAAGGATGGAAGTCAGACTGCGGAGGAGGTCAGCGGGGAGTCCAGCCCTGGGTTTGTTGTTGCCTCATCAAACGAGAGAATTGTTTTAAACTGAAGAACTGATGCAGAATCCTGGAGGCTCCTCATGAAAGAGACTCCTCGTGTGTTTTATATGAGCGAGACCTGAAGGCTGAAGCTCGAGAGATTTAAAGAAAAAACCAAAACGACACAGTTGGAGGAGCAACGCTGTGTTTATATTCAGCTTCAGACCGACCAGACGGAGATGATGTTCGCTGCTCACAGTGAAAGCAGCTCCGTCCTAAAGCTCCACCTTTTGTTTTCCTCCACACACAAACAGGGACATGACGTGGTCGTAGATGTTCTATGTTCAGGTGAACTCAGCCAAATGGATGCCATGCATCTTCATGTATTACTGTGTAAAAGTAAGATATATTTATTTCAGATAAATTATTTATTTATTATGGCTTCATGTGAGAGCTGTTAACTCTATAATGTAGATATATATATCTATTTATTGCCAAAAGTCACATTTCATGTTGTGCTTGCATTCAGTACGTGTTTTTTCTTTCTTTCTTTTCGAGGTGCTGATCTTCACCTTCAGAACCTCAGATCCGGGCTGATTCTGGGTAGAATTAGATAAACAACACAAATCCCAGAATTCATATTCTTTTTTAAATTTCATGTCCGACTAATGACTGTCAGACAAACTGACCTGCATTAAAATGATGTGGTATATTTAAATAAATGTTTTTCCTCTGAAGCGCCTCAGACTCTCGGGTTTGATGGCTAATCGCTATTTTTGGCATCAAGTTTTGGAAAAAGAACGTCCGTTTGGCTTAAAGTGACCTTTCTAAACGGATGAAACCCAACACTGGCTTCTCATTTTAAAGTGTTTCAGTAATTCAGCTCAGTTACGCTCTCCAGTACGTCACTCTGTCATTATTACTGTTATTATTATTATAAAGTTTCCTTTATTTTTGTATGGCATTATCCTCTAAGGGAATAAAGTTTTTTTTAAATATGCATCTTGTTATCAGTGTTTGCGCTCATTACTCTGACTGAATTACCTCTAGAATGAGTTCTGGTGAGAAGTAACAACACCACTAACTTTTCCACATCAGTCTATGCTGGACTTGTGTTGTAGCGCCACCTGCTGGCCCAAAATAAAAGGCAAAGTTTGAACCTGTTGTCCTCGGTTTGAACTAAAACAAGCCTCCCTCTTCTGCCACCTGGCTGTCGGTTTGCTTTTTAAAAGTTAATGTCATTGTTCGTTAATCAGTAGGTGAAGCTCGTCAGGTCTTCAGAGTCATTTTATTTCTCTGCACACATCCACCGACACCTCAGATCACACAGCATCAGTTTGTTCTTCATTAACTGTGTTCACGTCGGCTGTTCACAGCTTCAGATATCAGAACATCATGTGGTCAATACAAATGCTCAACAGATTCAGACAGTCTACATTCAGGTTCCATGCAACACTGTTAATGGCACAGAGCAGGTTGGCAGCATGTGGGTTTAAACACCAGGCCGTACAGGAATACAGTCTAACCACAACATCTAATAGAAAAACATGTGAATGGCACATATGGGTTCATACAGTGGATCACGCTCACAGAGCAGCACGCCTGTTATTTGTACCCACGGGGTATAATAGAAGTTACTTACATTTCCAAGTTTGGAAATAATCAGCACAATGTTCTACTGATGTCATGTCTACGTTCTTCCAGCAGAAGTCCTGTTATACAGACAAACAGCTGCAGCCTCTGGCCACATCACATCTGCTAGGAGACGTTTCTGTGGAACACTTTTGTTCCAGCACCAGAAGCACGAGGCCTGGTGAGTTTACTGCACACAGAGTCACGAGAGCTTCAGGTGAATGCAGACGCTCAGCTTACAGCTCTGACGGTCGGGCCCTCGTGTTTTCTTGAACACAAAGAAGCCCAGAGGACACCCTGTGTGTTTGTGCTGGATGCCAGTAAAAGGAACACTTTACCTAAATCACATCACACAGAGTGCTCAGGTGGTTAAACCACGTGACCCACAGTTGATGCTGAAGGTGTTTCAGTCACAGTTTTGCTGAGTGATGCTTCAAGTTTTAACTTATTTCAGATGATTTGGCTCTCTGGTGGTTCAGAACCACTAAATGAAGTCTTAGTGCGGAGCAGTTCCAGCAAAAGTACCTGTTCGCAGTGCAGGAGAAGTAGCTGCCAGAAAAATCTGAAAACTGTTGTTGGGAGACATCAGGAGTCCATCAGAGACATTTGGCAGACTGACAGGAGCTCGGTGTGCTGAACGTGCACGTCACGATGTCCGCCCTCCGGACAGAGTTCGCGCCGCGTCCCGGAGGACAGTCGGCCGCCTGCTGCTTGGGTCGAGCTGCTTCCTCCTCATCACAGCCGAGGATCGCGGTCGATTCCACGCTGAACGGGTGAAAGTTGACCCGGGCGGTGTCGTACTCCCACGCGTGTCTCTTCGCGAAGTCTGTGAAGGATTTATTCTTGATGGGCACTTGGTGCACCACATCGTTCCTGAAGCTGGCTGTGCGTAATGACGCGTAGCTGGTGTCGTTGCTGTGTAAAGACGGAGGGGAGTTCTGCTCCTCCACCCAGCCCATGTTCTCACCACGGCCGTCTTTAACCCGAGCAACTGTCCTCTTCAGCTTCTCACAGCTTTTCAGTAGCAGGTTCTTCCTGCACAAAATGTACACCCAGGGGTCTAATATGGGGTTGAATGAGGCGAAGCGGATTGCCAACAGGTCGCTCCGGTAGTCTGGCTTCCCCCCAGCAGAGATGTAGGCTGGGTCGTAGAGCTGGTTCACGAAGAGTCGCACCTATCAGACAGAAACATGACAGAGGATGTCAGACAAGAGTCACAATGTCAAGGAAACACTTTGCGTAAAACAACGTGCTGTGCTCACCACCAGAGGGATGGAGCAGACCAGGAACACGATGGTCATGAAGACCAGGAGCCAGAACATCTGGATCTCCGCTGCAGAAGTGACCGACGGCAGTCTGGGGAAGCGGCGCCGCGAGCCTCCCTGCTCACACAGCTCCGTCCTGACGATCCCCGTCCTCTGGTTCATCCCCACCAGCGACCTGCACACCGCCAGGTTACACAGAACCGTCACCGCGATCAGCAGCAGCATGACGCCGCCGTACAGGAAGGAGTAGCACGCTCCCACCGGATCCATCGCCCTCCAGTCCAGAAAGCACCAAGTCCCGGGCTGGTGTCTGACGTGCTTCCCGAAGCCGAAGCTGGGCATGATGCAGAGAACAATGTTGGCCAGGTAGATGGCCAGGAGCGCAAACCGTGCCATGGTCCGGTCTATGTGCTGGGAGTAGAAGTACGCGTGGTTTATGGCCAAGTAGCGCTCCACGGCCATTGCGCACAGGATGGACATGCCAGCTGAGCCGAAGAAGAGCATGGAGAAGGAGAAGAAGTGGCAGAGCAGCGCTCCTCCGGGCCAGCGGTTGGCCACATACGTAGCGATCACCACCGGGCTGGTGAAGCAGGTCCCCAGCAGGTCCGTGATGGCCATCCCGCACACCAGCGTGTAGAAGGTGGTTTCCTTCTGCTCCTTCTTGGAGACGCACAGCACAACTATGGCGATGAGGTTTCCCAGGACTCCCACTGCGAACATCGTGGCTGACGTGACCAGAGACTTGGAGTCCAGCCGGAGCGCAGGGAACGCGCCGTGGTTCTGGCTCAGAGAGAGAAGCGGCTCAGAAAGGTTCGCGTCCAGATCTCCAAAGTCCAGAGTGTCGTTGCTCATCATTAACAGCAGCAGAGCGCGAGGGTTGACCCACGAGGACTCTCTGTGAAAACTCTGGACAACTTGTTGTGAAGTGAAACTGGATCTTTACCTGCAGACCGTCACATCCTGAAGTGGTGCTCGTGCCCAGGCCGCCCACATGGAGGCGCGTGTTTGTGTTTGACTTGGCTGCTGCTGCTGCGGGTATTTAAGCTGAGTGCTGATGTCAGGAGGTGACGTGCGGGCTGAGCGGAGACCCAGACTTCCCAGGATCACATTTATGCAGCCAAAATAGATCCAAGAATCAATATTCAACAGTTTTCATCCCTCGACGCTGATTAAACTCAAGCGAGAGGCCAAATAGCGTCACTTCATTACAGCCTCGAGCCAGATGACAGCAGGTCCATTAAAGGTTCTTCTGTGGTTTGTGGACGGAATAAAAAACAAAAGAACACAAACGGAACAAAAGCTTTAATTTGCTGTAAATATTTAAATCACAGTAAATACATTTATTAAAACCCATTACAGACTGCACTGTCAAAAAATCTGTTAAAAAAGAAAAAATGATAATAATAATTCTATATAATTGAAATTAATGATTTTTTTTATTTCAATACAGTGATATAGTGTAATGTAACAGTACATTTGTGACAAATTACCGTCTGTAAATTATTGATGGGGACATTTTTTACATTTTTTTTTTTTTACAGTCAACATGTAGATGAATCCGCATTCTTTCTGTGATTGTCCAAGACATTTAACAAAACAGGGAATATCTATAAAATAACTGTTTAAACTACTATTTAAAATTTTATCAATCCTTAGTATGCATTTTTTTCTTGTAAAAAACAGCATCTGTAATAACAAATAACTTGTTTTATTGCAGATTTAAATACATGTTTTAAAGAGTATTTTTACAGTCAAATGAAATAGCATTAATAAAAAATCAGGTGTTTCTGTGGACATTCAACACAGTGTTGTTCTGTTAACATGTAAATGAACAGCTTTTCAGTGATTTTAGAAGTTGTTATCTATCATTTAACACACCTTTAATATTATAGTTTATTGTTCCATTAAAAAAAAAAAATCATTAAAAACTCTCTGAAAACATTTTTTTTTCATAGTACTTTAGTCTCAAACGTTCCACCTGCCTAAACAGCACAATCCCTGTTTATTATAAAAACCACAAGAGTTCAGATGCAGTAAACCCATTAATGATCAGGATCAGAACTTAGCCTGACTTCCCAGAGGGAAATGTAGAAAATATAATATAGAAGAAGTCAACAACATTTACAAGAACATATAAGAGAGATACAGAAATAGAAATATCTCCTCATCAAATAGAATCAAGCTGAAGTCTAACACAGGGTAACCAGAAACCTAACAGCAGCTGCTCTGACCGTATATGGTCCATAAATGAAGACCCACAGAGACGGAAACGGAGCAGATCAGTCATAAATCCTCAAACTTCAGCACCAAGGTCAGCGCCTTCATTACAGTCAGTCCAGAGAACAGCAGCAGCCGACGCTCAGCCTGGAAACCACCGACCTGATGAACTGATGGCACGTCACTCCTTCCTGTAAAACGTTTGGACCATCTAAAGGTATTTCTGTTGTTTGTCAAACGTCTGAGTGCTGCCTGCAGAGAAAACACTGTCGATCGCTTCGATTATAACGATGCACAGAAGAGGACTCCTGGGAGCAAACCGTCAGCGTCACCATCACGTATATTTACGTGTGGTCTCTGGAGATGTCTTGATCTAACATGAAACAAAAGCATCTCAATGAGCCAACAGCTCAGCAAGACAAACAAATAGGAATTCATCAAGTCACTGGCTTTGTGATGTCTGTCAGATCATTTTATAAAAGATCATTTCTAGTAATAAAGTGGAGCAAAGTGGAGTTTTCATTGTTAAAGGGTCCTTGTGCAGTTCCTGTTGAGGCCTCTAGACTCTTTATTCTGGCTCTTTCATCCACTGGAAGAAAAGGAAATGCTTCAGATGCCAAAATAGATGGAAACTAGTGAGGAAGACAAATCTAGGTGTCGGTGAAGTAGAGAAATGTTTTATTGTCACTGTGTTCAACATGTTCAACGTGTTTGAGGGTTTTCATCAGTGAATCTGAGCTTCATTGGTGCATTTCTCAGCCTGAAGTCATGCAGAACTCACACTGGCCTCCATTAGATCAAGGTCAGGCTGTGAGGAAGTCTTCAGCACACTAACACAAATATAAACAGAGTTTTGTTTTGAGCATTTTCTTTACTGTAATTTATTTTAAAGAGCTTCCTGGCGTTTCACACATTTCCTGTTCGATTACAGGTAATATGAAGTGGCAGTATTTCCATCCATCCATCATCTTTACACCTTAATCCTCACTAGAGTCATGGGGGGCGGAGCCTATCCCAGCTGACTCAGGGTGAAGGCAGGTTCACCTGGACAGGTAACCAGCCTGTCACAGGGCTACACTTAGAGACAGACAACCAAGCACACTCACATTCACACCTACGGACAATTTACAATCACCAATTAACCTCAGCATGTTTCTGGACTGTGGGAGGAAGCCGGAGAACCCGGAGAGAACCCACGCTGCACGGGGAGAACATGGAGACTCCACGCAGAAAGATCCCGGGTGTCCTCACCGAGACGCCAACCGGCGACCTTCTAGCTGTGAGGCGCTAACGGTGCTAACCACCGAGACACTTGCAGCCCTGTTGCAGTATTTGACCATATTAGTACTTTTATTATATTTAAATCACCACCAAACATTGCTGTTTCATAGATGTTTGCTGACATTTTCACGGTTACACTGTTCAACCATTTTTATACTTTCCTGGCAGATTTTTATGAACAGAAGCTTTTTTCCAGTGCGAATATTAAAGATGAGGAGGTGATGGGAGAAGAAGCTGTTATTTTACATTAATCTACATTTTAAACATGAGATATTAGAAACAGAGATGAATTAATATTTGACTGACAGACGAGGAGGTTTTTGTTTTGTTTGTATTCAAATGCATTCTGACCTTCAGCGAGCTGTGAAATTGGGTCTTATCATCACCTGCTGCTCCATCAGCTCGTTCCTCTCTCCCTATACATCTTTCATCACCTCCATACATTCAGGAGACTCGTGAGTTCATTCAATCCCTTTTTTTCATTTCCTCTGTAGATAATAAATACGACAGTGCGTTCAGAAAAACAGAAAAGATATGACAGAAAAACAAAGGCGCTAACTGGAACCAGAAATGTTTATTTGCATCCGTGCCAGTGAAAAAAACAAATTTGAGTTCCACAAAAACTTTTAAGAAACAGGTTGTTTGAAGAAAATTGGTTCTTTTGGCACCGTAAACTACACCTTTAACCTCTTAAGACCTGGCGTCCTGCATGGACGTCACATCTTGGGTTATATTACCATATATATTTTTTTTCATTGTTGTCATTTTATTTATTTATTTAAATTATTTTTAGTCCAAATGAAATTAATTAAGCATTCATTAGTTGCAGCTGCTTCCTGCCACCAAACATCCCCAATAATCCTGCTGGAACCAGCTCCTAAATAAAGAGGTTCTCCAGTTGGTGATGGAGCTTTGAACAACCAGAGGAACCATGAAAGAACCATTAAAGAACCACTGGTTGCTCTAACTGTATGAACATCCCTGCAGGTTACAGGCAATGTTATCATCTCAGGAGAGATCCTAGTTAATTAATTCATGAGATTTCAGCTGAAATTACACGACGCCCTGAATCTGTTCTGGGATCTGTTTAACTCACCGCTATGGTGCACAACCTTTTATAAGACTCTGATGAAGCCGGTGAGTCAGGAGCTGCTTTCCTGTTAATCAGGAGCTAATTAAATGCAACAGACGTGTTTGCTTTATGTTCCGAGAAAAACGCTGCAAGTTGTGTTTTGCTGAGGAGACGTGAGTCACTGAACACAAGGTTAGGGCTAGCGACTCATGGAGGTTTCAGTTTGGAGGAAGGATGTGACTGTATTTAGTAAAGCTGATTTACAGTTTGAAGGAGGCTTGGTGGTTAGCACCGTTAGCGCCTCACAGCTAGAAGGTGGCCGGTTGGCGTCCCGGTGAGGACACCCGGGATCTTTCTGCGTGGAGTCTCCATGTTCTCCCCGTGCAGCGTGGGTTCTCTCCGGGTTCTCCGGCTTCCTCCCACAGTCCACAAACATGCTGAGGTTAATTGGTGATTGTAAATTGTCTGTAGGTGTGAATGTGAGTGTGCTTGGTTGTCTGTCTCTAAGTGTAGCCCTGTGATAGACTGGTTACCTGTCCAGGTGAACCTGCCTTCACCCTGAGTCAGCTGGGATAGACTCCGCCCCCCATGACCCTAGTGAAGATGAAGGTGTAGAGATGATGGATGGATGTACTGTTAGGTAGGGCATCATTCGTATCTGAGCTGTAGTTGAATAAATGTCCTGTTTAGACTGAGCCTTCCTTCTCTTTCTGTAGATTCTGTCGACATTTAATTACATTTTGCTCCCAGGTGTCGTAATTTCAGAGAAAAATTAGATTCACTAAGTCTGATGTCCACATTCCTTTAAAAATCTGTGCTGCAACTTAACTGCTTTTCCAACAGGGTTACAGATTAAAGGAAATGAGTCTCGTAACAAAATAACGTATTAAATTCTACATTTGCGTAAAGCGGATATTAAAGTTGGAGAAACTTCAGTCTGACTTTACTTAAAATGAGGAATCCAGTGATTTGCATAAACGTAACCTGAAGCAGCAGCACAACCTGTTGCAGAAACCTAATCGCACTTGAAGTCGGTTCAGCGGTTCTTACAACGCGGGCTGCTGCAGCGAAAGCATAACAAAGTAGAAAACAGCGTACCTCCAAAGCTGCACTTCATTTAAAATGTTCTCGGTTACATCCGTCTCCTCGGTGATCGTTTTAACCGTCTACAACGTCTTCTTCCACACACGCGCAGCAGCAGCAGGATAACCTAATCAGTGGAAATGAAAGAATTCATCATATACAGCCTAATGGTGGCTGAAGCTCTCCGTCTCTGTCTGTG